ACTCCGGCTTTGCCTTGCGGTTTGATTGGCTGAAACGGCATTTCAGTATTCGCGACGCGCTGATCCTCGAGCCCATCCCTTTACACAATTCAACCTCAGTCACCTTCTAAAGCACTTCCTAGATGTTCGACATTCAGACACACAGTGCATTGAATGACAAGAAAGGCTAGTCCACCGAGCATTCTTGTTAAAACGCGCATTGGCCAGGGAGCGGCGCTAAAGCGTGTGTCAATGTTGTTCACTGTTGAGTTTGACGACCATTCTTCACACTCTGAATTCTTTCAGTGCCGAGTCTGAACACATGACCATGTTGGACACAGAGTTGCAAGATCTGCTTTTGCAGCAGAAAAGGAAAGTGAGGCTAAAAGTTAGGAACATCCACAAATGTCTCTTAGTGCCTTTGGATTCTGCAGAACATCTATATTGACCTCTCCAAGCCGTCTGAGAAGAACATCCCACATCCGACAAGGATCAAACAGTTGAGGGGATGTTCGCGTTGATCACAGCACAGGCATCGGGTTGAAGACATCATGTGAAATAGACTCGAGCTAGCTAAACCAACAATGTAATCAGAGTTGCGCAAAGGCATCAAAGGCTGGTGTGGGTTGCCTTCCCAAGGTGTCTCAAAGGAGAGGCGAGGGCCGTTTTCAAGGTGTCCAATCACGGCACTTTGTGCAGCTGAAGCAGCACATCCTGTGATATCGCTAAAACTTGATAATTTGAGTCAAACTTATAGAGTAGGAGTAGGATACTCGGAGCCTAATCTTTTTGTTCAGAACAGAAGGATTTCTTCAAATTGAAGAGCAGACTGACCTACTTTTGACACAGGTACTTATTTTCTTTTTCAGATACAGGCCTGGGAAGACCTCACGCCTTGCTGGAAAGTCTATCAAGAAAGCACGTTTGAACCATTGCAAGGCAGTTCGGTGCAGCTTGTTTGGAAGCGAAGGCCTGGCGGCCAATACAAGCATTCCTCATCACCTTAGCGTTGCAAAGTTCTTCATAAGACGGATGAGCTATGAGGCGACGATAGTTGTTTGGATGGTATGATGAGAGACTAACACCCTCCAGGATTTGGAGTGTTAACCGTTCCTTTTCGCCTCAGATGTTGAGCAGGTTCTTGTTCTCAAAGAATCAAAGGATTCGTGAGGACGCAGGAGTGCACATGTGTTGCCGAAGGCATGTCCAATTCAAAGATAAACGCACAAGACATTTGCAGAGCCATTGAGGGCCCCCAAAGTGCCATGAGCAATAACAACTCTCAACCAGCTTTTAGATCTAAAGTTGACCTTCCTTTGTTTCAGGAACAGCGTTTTGAGTCCTGCTTGGCATTTTTTGCTTGTAGAAGCCTTTTTCCGTTCTCTACAAAGCCGGGGCCTGTGTCTCTGAAGGTGGTCCTGCATTGCACTACAACTGTACATAGTCCAAAGGAAATTAACGTCGCATCGTCGTTCTTTTGGAAGAGTTTCTTAGTGAAGCTTGAGTGACATCGGCTCAGCATCGGCGAATGACGCTTGGCGCTTGCACTGATGCAACAGCACTTGCAAGATGGGTCAGCTAGCAGAATCGACGCTTGTTTTGGCTTGCTTGCAGAAATGCCGGCGCACCAAGAGTTGCTCAATTCTTTTGAGTTTTCCCGTCCACAAGTCAACACCAGAGGCCCATTCTTCGAGGCACTGTATCGTTCCCATCGTTGGATAGCCAGACTGCACAAAGATTGCAAGAGTTGCCAGACACACCCGGAGTTCACATGTTCAAGTTGTGCTAGTTGCAGAGAAGGAGTCAGGTCAGATGCACAAGTTTGCTCTAGCAGTTTACGCTGATGACACCCGGAAAACGCACGCATACTGCATACAGTAATTCTATGACATAACTCCGGCCTAGGTACTAGAACATGCTGTCACATTGAAGAGCTTCGAAGGGTTGTATTTGTTGGCCTACCGGCACGATCGCATGTCGTGCCACATTGCAGAGGCTGTATTCGACATCAAGGAGGTAAAGTTCGTAACAATTTCTTGGCTTCTGACTCATTCGGGTGGTGTGAAGTTTCTGATTCATCGATCTAGAGAGTGGCGGCCGGAACGGTCCACAAATGTTGATGTGAAACCATGAGAGCGCCGACACCCTCGAAGATGCTTCGAGGTCCTGGTTTGAGGTTTGCTTCTAGAATCAACTGCGTTTTGCGCATCGCCGTACTAGTTTCCGCATCCAACAGTCAGGCAAGGCTGTCAGCCATGCTTCGCTACAAGATTGCGAACTGTTTGGACGGCTTGGACAATTCCATTTAAGTTCACCGCTTCTAGGCTGGAGGCCATCGCTACTAGGGTGGAGGCCATCGCTCTTAGGTTGGAGGCCATCGCTCTTAGAAACAAAGAAAAAATAACTTTCATTTAACTTCACTGCAGCTTTCTGTGATCCAAAGCTGCCATCCATGCCGTGAAAGCTCGCGCTGCTTAGTGCACATATTCCTTCCCATATTCCTACCCACCAGCAGCCGGCAACCGTCCCAACCAAAAGTAGGCTGAGTCTGGCTGAATATGCAAAAAGTACCTAGGTTGTATTGCGAAGTTCAAGTTTTGCAAGCAAATGCATCAGTATCCTTGGTGGTTGGGGAGGTCAGTAACAAGATGGAGAGAGTAGACAAGCCCGTTGAGGATGCAGCGCTTCAGGAAATGTGCTAAAAAATCAATCTGCGGATTTTCGCTTACGGAGCTTGTGAGATGTGCTCGGTGTGCTTTCATTTTGCCTGTTCGATGGCGCTAGGGTCTACACGGCGTGCTATGCCGTAGAATGAAGGGATGTGGAGTTCTTTGGACAGAGGAACCAACCTGCTGGGATTTAACTTCACAGCTTTCCCAGAGTGAAAAGAAGCGCGAAAAGAACCTTCTGAGTTTGGTGGTCTTTGGAGTCCATTGGAGCACCAAGGTGAACGATCTCAGATGAATTTTAAGTTGCGGAGGGAATAGGGTCTGTATAGGAGACAGATGTTTTTCAAGTCTTTATCCTTTCTGGCAATTTGATTTGTTTTTTGGGCTCGCAGTGCACATGAAGAAATCCAGAACTGTACGGAAACAGCCTCTCAGCTGCGCGTGGTTGCTGCCTTGGGTGTTGTGGATTTCAAATCAAGCGGGTGATTTCTTGAGGCCATGGGCGAAATGCCTTCAGACTGTGTGCAGGTGACTGGCAAAAAATGTAGCCAGGCACTAGCCATGTGTTGCACAATTCACGCTTTGTAAGCTTGCAACAACCTAATCCTTGTGGTTCGTGACAGGGCGCTGTTGCGTCGCAGCCCCACGAGCTGCAGCGAACTTCAACGTCAGCTGCTGTGGGATGGTTGTTCTGAACTGACGAGTTGGAAAGCGGTGGAACCATGACTGTTGCTGAGGCGATGCGCTGTTGCCGGCAGTGCGCTGGCGATTGTGGGTGCCATGAGAAGGAGTGGCGAACAGGCGAGGACCTAGCAACAATGGACAAGAATGCTGAGCAAGTTGACGTTGAAACAGCATGTGCGACAACTGTACAAACAACTCTTCGCAGTGCTTTGCACATAGCATAACTTTTGATCACGACTGGTTTGCAAAGGGCTTTGTCGCTTTGCCTACTCAGACTGAACTGGCCGCTGTGATTCTCATCGTGATGTCCTTGGGCCTCGAGGCCTTCGCTTGCCATGTTCGAACATGTTTGGAACAGAGTGAAGTCCGTGGGACTTCCGTGTCGCCATCATTCAGGTTCTGGCTTTACGACGGCCTCTTGGCATGCACAATGTATTTGATTTTTCAGTGGTTTGAGAATTCTGCCATCGGTCGCGAAAGAATGAACCATGCTGTTTTCTTTCAAGCTCGAACACAAAAGCATTTGGCGCAGGCGCCACAGCCATGTGCAAGGCCCTTTTGTCTTCTGGTTTCAGCGGCAAAAGCTGTGTGGATGCTCATGACAACTGCAGTTGCCAGGTACGAAACCGCAACATTCAGTTCTTGAGCGGTACAAGGCGTGCATTCACCTGCCCTCTTATCAAGAGATTCCTGGACGAAGCGGATGTCAGGATCCATTACTTTTGTCTACGCTTCGGGTCTTTGGGCCGGCGTTCCTCTCAATGACCATTTTCACTGCTTGGGGCGCAGGCCAGCCGGTTGGTTTAGCATTGCAGAACGGAAACACGGCTAGCAGCCAGCATTCTTCTAGACTTGGGGTGAGATGGAAATGATCCAACAACATGAATCAAGAGTTGCTTAGATACTTGCATGCCCTAGGACCCTAGGGTCATCCCATGTAGTCCTGTGCAGGGGCTGTTCGACATTTGGGCATTGTGCCTCGCACACTGGAGGGGCTGCCAGGAGTTGTTTTTGCCTGCTTTGTGTCCCAATCTCAGAATTCACAAGCAGGAGGGATCTAGACCAATGCATGAAAGAGATGGCCTCACGAAGAGGGTTGATTCGTAAAACCAGGAGTCAAAGGCTGGTGATGATTTCCATGCCTTGTTACTTTATCAGCAGTTGATGTTCCATTCTTGAACATCTACAGTATTTGCCATAACTCCGAGGCATTCCTCTTGGCCTCATTTCCTTTGGAATGCTGCTGTACCTCACTCAATTCAATGAGGATTCTGCTTCCTACCGACACGGGCAATGCTCAAGAATGGCGACTTTTCTCCCCCAACAAGATGGTTTCGTACTGGTTTCGTGGTTTGTTCCACACTTGCCTTGTGCCCCTCTATCCCTGCTCAACCTTGCCTTCGTTCCTATCCAAATTGGCATTGGAACGCTTCTGAGGGGCTAGCCCTTTTAGCACCCTTCGTTCTGGGTGCAGGAGCAAACTTGCTGGTGCTTTGGTGGCACTGGACATGTTAGACAATGAGAAGCCCTTTTTTGAGTCAGAATCTTTGTTAGCCTAGCAAGAGTTTGAAGCTTTGTTTGGTTGGTGTTGGCCATGAAGGCGTGAGGCACAGTCCAAAAACGTTTGTTTTGATTCTGATTCTACCGCAAGTAAAGGACTGTTGTTGGATGTCTTACTGCAAGGCGGCATCAGCCTTCATTGCTCTTTCTAGTGGCTTTTGTGCCTCAGCAGGCAAAAGCAGCGTGACGGACGATTGGTTATAGGTGGTGTTATGAGGCAACCTGCAACATGCATTTGATGTTGTGGCTTGCAACTGGTTCTCCCCGCTACTTGCCAAGGTGTTTGGTGCATGGCAAGGCCGGCGCTTCATGCTGGAGCAAGTGGAGTCGTTTGCGGCTACCTTGGGCTGCTGATGGCTGTTGTACTCAGAAGGCCGTGCCAGTTCACCCTGGGGGCCGGTCCCGAAGTTGTTTTCGCTGTTTTTCTGTTTGTTTCAGTCTGTGTCCTGCATTTGTCCGGCTGCCAACAGTCTATGCTGTCAATGGATCTGTGTTGACTGGACCCTTTTCTCGGTAACAGATACAGTATCGGAGTTCTCACTTCCTTCAGTTTCCTGGTCAAAGGCGAGATGTGCCGCTTGGCACTCTCCTTATGGTTGGACACTCAAAGGAGCTCAGAGCTGCCGTGGAAAGCCAGAGGTTTTGCTTTGGCCTGAGGTGTTAGGAGTGGTCGCATGCTACAGCGGCGCATTCTTGTTGTTTCAGCCTGAGAGAAATATGTTTCGAAAGAAAGGCACATACTTTGCTCTATTTTTTTGGCGAAGCTCTAGTAGAAAAATCTAGCTTTGTAAGGCTTAGTACCAAGAGATTTTACATGTGATGCAGAACAAACCCTTCGCATCGAAACAGTTTCCCAGGCATCGGCCTGGTGCATCTTTGGAGCCACTCTATGAGGCATTTACAGCTTAAGCAAGATTTACTTGCACTGCACAATATATAAATGATGTATTCTTCAGCGTTTGTGATTCAGTTTGTGTGCGAAATGGTCAGCAATTGGTTGACCAAAGCGTGACATTTGTCAGGCTTGCACCTCCCGTAGCACATCCGCTGAACACCACACCTTCGGCTTTCTGTCAGGCGAGTTGATGCATCACTATATAAATGCACAGCTTTGTTGTGCGGAGTTATATAATGCTACTGACAAACAGCTTGCTAGGATTTTCCCAAGGAAATGGTTCGACCCGAGTCCCTCAGAAGGTCTCACTTTCTAATGACACAGTCTCTAATGTTTTGGTAGAACCTGGTAACATTTTCTATAAACCAGCATTCTCAATGGATGATATGACAAGAGGGTTTCCATTCCTAGCAATTCCTAGAGGACAGCCTTAAATGCCCTAAGCTTGGGAGGTCACTTTCTAGACTGTTGGCAAAGCACGAAAGTAACTATATATGTATATATAGGGAACCATGTTATAGAGACAGGTTGGATGAACTGTTATTCTTGATATCCCCGTGTGCATTATGACTTTGAGTCTCCAGATATATTTTCCAAGTAAGCTAGGCTTGCAAAATTTGTCAGAAACCATTCATCAACTTTGAAAAAAAAGACCTAAGATAGATCAAAAAGAACTTCTAGATCTACCCATGAAGGGAGGACATCAAAGACATGACCCTCAAGGTATATTCCTTGACCATTAGGGTCATGTCTGACATTTTACAGTGGAAGATGGTTGATGCCCAATGATTCATAAATTGTTGTTGAATCTGTAGGCCTTTATTTTGAGAGCGGTTGTTGGTAGGGTTTTCTGCGTGCAATAGTGGTTTCAAACACGCAAACGAAAAATTTTGTTGAAAAGGAAGCTGAAAGGACATCATCAGAATGGAAACGGAATTTGCGAGGGAATCAATAGGTCAATAGGAATCAAGAAGGAAATTAAAGGGACATCAATAATTCATATTTTAGACAGGGAATTCAAACATAATGAACAGTGAAAAGCGGAAAACGCGTATACTGTATATACATTATTGCAGGAGATGTTGTTATTGCTGTAAATCTCATACCAGGATTGTTTTGGGTTTTCCAATGGGAGGTAGATACAGGTCATGCCACATATGAATTTTTCAGGCATTTTACACTTTTTGAAGTGGGCGGCAGATGCAAGTGATGAACTATATGCGTTCTACCAGGGGCTTGGCACATGGACATGCAACATATACTGTAATTTGCAACGTTTTATGCATATTGCAAAGGGAAATTTGCAGTCCTAGGAACGCCCCTTTCTGTCCATTTTCAAGTGAGATATTCACCCATTTTCTAGTGCTCAATTCCCATGCGCGCCGATTGTGTGCTAGAAAATGGAGTTTCCAACCCAGACACCGGCATTTCTTGAGTATTTTTAGGGCCGAAAATCTAGGAAGGGGTGTTCCCATGTCTCTTCTTTGATCAATACTATGAAAATCCTTGTGAGTTTAAGGGCCCTCCAGAAAAAGACATTTGCCGCTTGCCTATTTTAGTCACAATGGAAACCGCTAAACGCATACAGATTCGACATAGAGATGCACTCCTGCATCAATTTGATGTCTTTAGATATGTTTACATTTTTACAAGAGACACCTTGCATTTTCTAGATACGTACTTTCAATGACCCACTGCCATTTTCCTGTAAAAACGCACGCCTGCCAAGTTCTTCTTCAAATTCGACCGGGAGTCAAACATGTTTGAAAAGCATTGAATCCACATAATTCTCTGGGAAGTGGGTGACATTTTATCCTCACTTAACATTTCAGGGTCAATAATCCAAGGAAATGATTATTGCCAGCTCTCGCTCATGATGATCAATCTTGTTCAAACATCATTTCTTTCAGTGCTCTCTAGAAAAGGACTCTTGATGTTTTTCACAATAGAACCTGTGAAAAACCATATTTTAGATTCTAGAGATGCATGGAAGCATGAAAGCATGAAGATGAGGTCATGAGATTTTGACTTTCCAAGAATGCCTTGCATTTTCTAGAGAGCTTTTCTTGTTGGCAACGGCCATTTTCTAGTCAAGAGTGCCTCCCCGTCTTTTCTGGTTAGAGAACTGCCAATCCAAGTTCTCCGTGGAATCTTAAGGGGGATCGTTTTAGGTGAAACCAGGCAGGCTCAAACGAGTTCTAGCAAACGAAAGAGAGAGAGAGGCCTGGCTTCTGCCCTTCTCTTTGTACGATCACCACCTCGACAAGATGGGACTCAGCCTAGATGAACGCTGTCTCAGCGGCTGGTTGTAGGAGTGGATAGGGATAGGTAGATGAATTGTTTGCTGCCTCTTGCCTGCTTTGCAGGCAGAGAAAGGTTGTACAGAAAAGTTTCACCATGTTCCCTGGTATGTGATGTTGTCTCATCTTTTGCCACTTTTCATGGCAGACATGTCCACTTCCGAGGGTTGCACCCATTGGCTCTATTGAGTGTATTGAGTGCTTTTGTGGCAAACACCTTCTGAAAGAGCGAGCCTGGGGGTTCACAGCTGTTTGACTTCTGCATTGAGAAGCACCGAAAGACATTTTTATTCGCAGATTTAGTGTCAAGTCTCGGGACGCTGCCTTCTCTCTTGGGCCTTGCGAAGGAGCCGGATGGGTTGAGAAATGTCGCGGCGCCAGATTTGGGAAAAGTCCGACTATATATACAATAAGTTGGTGAAAATTGTCCAGCTCAAGGCTATTGAAGCGGCTGTTGTTCCGGAATGCAGTGCTTCCAGTGCTTCCAGTGCTTCATGCTGCACGCAAACGGGGAATGATCCCCTCTTGTACTTTGAGATGGTGTCTTGGACATTGTCTCTTCATGCCCAAATTTCAGAGCAACTAGCATTTCATTCAATTTTTGATATCCTAAGGTTCTGTTTCTGGATAATGAGACATGTTCCAAGGAGCTTCACCATGCCGGAAAAGCGAAAACATGAGGAGGTTGGACAGAACGCATTTTGTTGTCAGCCTGCGCAGTGGGCTCATGTCACTTTGCTCAGATCATTGAGCTGGACATTGTTGTGGCCACTCGTGACAATACTGCAAAACTGGGCTACTTTGTTGATGACACTGTGAAAACCTCAGTTTTTTTGTGGTGTTCTCAAACCTCATTTGTAGGCATTGTAGTCAGGCCTTAGCACCAAACCATTCCCAAACTCATCACAAATCAGGTTGTGAATCCTGGCTTGGGCATCCCATTCTACAAGACCGCTTGAAACCGAGCTGTTTTGCAAGGTGCATCCTGGCTCAGAAGCATAGCCAGTGTGGGGACATATTCTTGGTTTGCAAAGGTCCTGGAAGGTGCCAACTACGAGCATGCAGATTGGAAGGACTGATCTTTTGCTCAAATGACTGTTGCGTCCTCCTCTTCGAGCCTGTACAGGACCAGGCCTGTGTGCGTACCTCTCAAATTCACTGGCGTGATGACCACAGCGTATCATGGACGGCTCCTTAGATGTGGTTTGCACAAGCCACGCCAGCATGGAAGTATTATCGATGGATCAAGCTTTTGTCGCCCAGGCTGGAGCGACACATGGAGATGACGCAGGTATGTGGATCCACTGTTTTGCTGCAAAGCTTGGTGATGGTTTACCGAACCTTGCAAGGGCTTCATCGTCATTGGGAAGAACCCAGGACTCTTCGTGCTTGGGGAGCCAACACATGACCGCGAGGCCAGCTCCTGCTTTGGCCTGAAAAAGTTGTCCGTGCGCGTCTGAAGCAGGACCTGGACGAGAAGAATCGCGCATTGCCTGATCCAAAACGCACAAAGGCTGGACAAGAAACTACGCATATGAAGTGATTCTACAGCGCAAATTCTCGATGGTCAACTGCTCTAATTGTTTTCCTTTCCTGGTAGTCTCATTTTGCCTTCGTTCTGCAATTGTCGCGGTTCCAGATGTGATTTTACATACCAAGCTGTCTCTTGCTATGCTTGTGGGTCCTTCCTAAGTTGAGCTCGCAAGCTTCTGAATACTTTTCAAGCTCTGTGTTTCTTGCTTGTTTGGAGTGTCTGTGTTTGATCGCTTTGGCTCGGAGTCTTCACTATCTACTTCCAACTCATGCTTGGGATGCGGATTCTCTCCACCTTGTTGCTGATTCTAGTACTTCCACTTGGATCCATCTCAGAGGTAGCCAGGCGAATATTGGGCTTCCTGAGATGCGCTGGTTTTGGTTGTTACTGGTTCTTTCGTTCTTATTTGCTGTCACTTTCCAACGGACCCACAGGCCTACATTATTCCAGCCGGTATGGGGCTGATTTTGAAAAAAGGCACTTGGCACGACTTTCCTGTGTCATGCCCTCAATGCAACAAGGAAGGATAAGTCACAGGTGAAGGTTCAGTGCTTCTTGAGTTGAAGGCAGCTGTTGAAACACCTTCAGGTCCTGTGGACCTCCAGTATCTGCATTCATCTTGAACACTGAAGAGGTGCTACTTCGCTGTCTCATCAAGTTCACCCACAGAAGGAACTCGCAACTTTTTAGTCTTTGTGGAAAGTCATCATCTTAAAGATTCTCTTGCCTTTTGGGACAATTTGCTCCCTTATATAACTGGTATGCTGAATGAAGGTGGTCGAAGCTTTGGCGTCAATGCCACAGGCTGGAGCTGAGGCAGAGGCCTTTTTCTGTCACATTCTGTGACCATTCTGTTTGAGGCTGGTCCCATGAACCACGGAGACTGCTTCAAGCTACGGCTTTCGGACCATTGGTGGGGCACATTCTCTGCTAAGCAATGCAAGCGTTCCGGTCTTCCAGGGACTTCAAGATGAAATTCCCAGACCCTCGTCCTTTTGTGCAAAAGCACGGACAACGGCTCAGTGTGGTGTCAGGGTCGAGCAGATTGCACTAAACCCAAGAGTCAAACTAAAGTTTCCCAAAAAATCTAGGAACCAAATGTTGCGAGCGCTTCTTCAAGGAAGCTCCCCCCACCCTCAGGCAAGAAGCGTGAGCTATCCTGCGTCCATACTAGTAGCTTAAGTAAGCTATTAGCTACCGTTTACTTCTCCTCTACTAGCGGCCTTGCCCCCCGGGCAAAAAAAGATGATAAAGAACGAAGTTCTCCATCTCTCAGGATTGGTTCCTGGCCCTGTGGCCATGCCGCTCATGGGCAAAGAGGGCTATGGCATCGTGGCAGCAACTCTTTGGAACAAAGGACCAAGTTCGGCCTTTAAGTTGGCACAATCCGGTCTGAAAAGATGCTAGAAGATCGCAGTTTCTTCCGGCCACATTCTTTTCACCCTACGCGCATATATCTCTCTCAGCTCGGGACAGTCCCGACTCCTGCAGCTGCACAAAACAATCGTTAAAACATGCAAAGTTGAGATCTCAGGTGCTGGAATGAAGAGGGAGGAGGCATGTTTGTGCTTATACAGAGAGAACGAGAGAGGGAGAGAGAGAGAGAGAGAGCGAGCGAGGGAGGGAGGGAGGGAGGGAGGGACAAAGGCACGGACATGGAGGACTGTGATTATACTATATTTGGCTCAAGGTCTAATTGTGACCACTCACATACAAGATTGTCACAGGTACTCCAGCTATCAACTCTGCGACCGTATTGACAACACGCAAATTTAAAGTCCATGCGTACAGCGATAGAGCGGCTTTATGGGAAGGCCTCAGAGATCAGTGCTGCTGGCCAAGTCGCAAATATTTTTGTTTTGTGAGCTTGCCCAAGTATTGCTACTAGTAACACTGTTCGCTACTAGGGACTCCGCATCGCTACTAGGAGCAAGAACGCTACTAGGGGATCCTGGCCGTACTACTAGGAGCAAGTAGCTACTAGTAACAAGAAGCTCTCGCACCCGGTGGAGCTGCATGAAGACTGCTAAGGAGGCGATGGGCAAATTGGAGGCAGCTGAGCCCAATCCATGTGTTAGCAACAGTTTGGCATGAACAGGAGAAGAGGTGTCTCTGCGGAATGCTTCTCAGGACGAGGTACTCTTGCTGACCAATGCTTTCCGCGAGAAACAGGGTGAAGCCCCACTCAAGATGAACGAGGCAGAGCTTCCACATCTGAAGTACCTCTCGTTTTGTTTCCTCTTCCAGTGATTCTGCGAGCTTTAGAGCCATGATCAGCCAGGACTTGTTCTTGCATGCTTTGCAGGCACTGAGCTTGGTTGCCCGCAAACATGCGGTTGGGAGCTCAGGCTGAAATCATCCTGAGTGCAACCATGCTGTATTTGTGGAAGTTTAGGGAATCTGAATATGAAGACCTTCAACCTTTGCATCAAGTAGATCAAGCAGGGCTGTTGTTCTGGATTGACAGTGAACTTTAAGGGTTGTCACTTGTTCGAGGTTTGTAACGGATCGTTGTGTTGGCCTCCGAATTTCCATTTTTTCGCCCTCCACGGTGTGGCATATGCGCCTCCCGGCCGCCGATGAATCAGTTTTCGGCTCTTGTGGAGTTTTCATTTCCTTTTCTCGGCTGATCGGGTCGAAAAAAGAACTCTTTTTGATGATGCATATGTGGCAATTGGAAAGTGCCACGAGTGCGAGTAAATGATGTAAGAAATATTGTATTGCCTGTGCAGGCAGGGTGTGTCAATATACCGTAGTTGTGTGTGTATATATATATATATGGGGCATTATGGGGCTGTACAGTTCTAGGATAGTCAGTCTTTCTGTGTTGAAATTTGTGATAAGTAGATTTGTGGACGCCTTTCCGGAGCGAGCATGACTTCTTGAGAGGTACACGAAAGCAGTTTCATGTGTTTCAAAGCACATAACAATCCGGAATCGAGAGCCGGAGATTCGAGATGTGAACGTGATAGATTTGGTTTCATGCCTTTGCCTCTGCAGTAGTGGGTAATAGCATCAGGAGGTTGCCAGCATTCGAAGGACTTGGGAAAGGTTTCGCGACAACATGTGTAGCAAGCGCAGTCGGCATTCACTTCAGGCTATTTTATATGCGTGTGACATGGTATTGTTACGTGGTCACTTTTATTACTTTGATAGCATTATGCAAACGTAATATATACTTTTCTACCAAGGTGAATGATTGGTTGGGTAGGGACATAGTAAATATCAATCTTGATGCCACTTTGGCTCAAGATTGGGATCTTGTTTTACTCTCCGATCCTCTTCCACCCTTGACACCCTCTGCGGGTACCACGGGGTCGGATGTATGAGACATACTCTTTTCTATCCCATAGTCTGTGCACCATTCGGGTGGAGGTGTAGTAAGTTCGTCTTTGATGACTTGACGAGCTGGCCTGTGTGGCTGCTGTCCGGCGTATGGTTAAAATATTGCTG